TCTCTAGACTCATTAAGGAAAGTTGTCAATGGTTTTATAATAGGGTTCTACTAGGAAAGGTCTCTTTGTGACGACTGGGGCGTACGAAGAGCAATGAAAAACTTTACAACGACGTTGACAATAAACAGGGAACGAGAGAGAAATTTAATAAAAATTGGAAGGTCATACAGACCATTTATAAAAGACTTTTACGATGGGATTAAGAAATTCGAGAGAAAATAATTTCGAAGACGAAATTTTAGTTTCGCGAAGGGCGTCATTAAACAATAACCATTTGTCACCTTTTCGTTCGGGCTGTCACAGTGTCTAGACATCTGGGAATATTCCATTTATGTCTTCAAGTTCCTATCCTTTTCTAAATTCAATTTATTCCCATGGGTATTTGTTAAATTAAATAAATTTATTTTCTATTATTTACATATATTTTGATCAATCAAATACGCGACATTTTGACGTTGAGTTCGAATAATTCCCGCGGAGCACGAGCTCCACTAGGGAATAGTTGGGGAAATTATATTACTAAGACGACTTTATACAACAAACTGAGCTCTGCTGCGAGTTGATGGTCGCGACATCTTGCGGGGTTTGCAGGCATTGATTTCGACAGCTGATCGGTTCATCTCTGCCTCAACTAATAGCGGGCGTATTTTTCATGTAATCGGGGTGAAAAGTGATGAAAAAAAAGAAGAATAATGGTTCACATGTCAGAAATTACTTTTCAAGTGTGCTTGGTGTTTGTGGAAATTATAATTAGTGGTTTTCCATTTGTATAATTTGTCCGCCATATTGAGCGCGTGAGACACGCTCTCAAGGGGGGCATCTAGGGTATTATGAGCTCCGCATTATTCGCATAATTATGACCTTATCACATCTTATATGTCTTTGAGACCTAATTTTTGACACGGCGACGCTAATGATCTTTTATTTGAGTCCAAGGTCATATTTTAGCACGCGTTGTATCGATCCTAATCAGTGTAGGCGTGAGATGGAAAATAATCTAGGGAAATGGGGGGAATCTAGGGGAAAAATAGAAAAAAAATATCGGGAAGACGGGCCTTAAGTTTGGCGGAGGACGGGCACGTGCCAACGCGACGGAGACGACAATGAGTGGGAGCGAGCGCGATACATATTCCTTTCTCACTCAGGGGGGGAATAAATATATATAATCGAACATTACTATGGTAAGAAAAAACAAAATCTGCACAATTATTCAATAGAATCACTGGAAAACTATAGAGTTTTCCAGCGACAGCGCTGGGATTTTCTATGAATTTTTTGACCTACGTGTCAATAATAAATATGTCGAGAAAAAGGAAACGACTTTTAGATCATTAGATTCTGCATCATTATACTGTTGATTATAATATGTTCGATTTTACATTCCTGACAATTATTACAAAATGCGAGGAGATACCGTATTGAGAACCCCTTTCCGGTTATCGACAAATTTATGCTCGGGCCCTACCATTCCAACAGTTCCGTACGCTCCATCGTAGTCCGTGCGCCACCGCTACTAATTTTGCTGTTGAACACTTTACATTGGCCCTGCTCATCTCCCCTATAATCTCTGGTTTTACCAACAAATGTGTACTTGCATTTAGTTCATGCGCCACCACTACTAAAAATCCAGTCGAAACATTTACATTGCCGTGGCAGATCTCCCCTATAATCTCTAGTCTATGGCTGTAAGACCGTGTAACGCGCGCTAGAGGCACGCGCACGACCTGTACCTGAGAACTGACAAATGGTGAACCATCCATTCGTAGTCCATTTGGCAAGTGGTAATAATCCGAAAGGGCAGAGTTTAGGCGCAGAATTCTCTTTTCCGTTGGACACAGATCGTTCCCATTAGAATAAAACCCTAAAATCATTTGCTATTAAGATTTTCTCTGAAAATAAAAAGGTGAGTTAAAAAAACTGGAATGAAAAAAAATTTGAAGATCAAGCAGTGGAGTGACAGTTTAACCTTCCGAAACCCAAAACAATGAGTACTTGACATTTTCAGATGCATCAGAATCACATGGACGGTTCACTGATTTCACAAAATAAAAACCAACAAAGGCCTTCAAAGCGCCAAAAACTTGACACTATTAATTCATCAATCCGTGATTCGTCAGGCATTGACTCTGAGTGCATATCGAAATGGGAGAAAATTGGTATTACAAGGGAAATTGGTGACTTCTACATTGCATTGTCCAACACTGAAGCTACTGCGATTCAAGTTCGGAAAATGAGAAGACAAATGGAAGAAATTTTTAATGACGAAGAAAAAGTTCTTGAGATATCGGCGAGAATGAAGAGAGACGCGATAGAACGTCTAAAAGAGCATCTGGAAACCTCCTATGTACACGAGGCTCGTGAGCACCAGACTGCTGAAATTTCAATGGCCCCTATAATGAGCAGAATGATGACAAAAATTAAGGAACTATTTTTCAGAACCTCTGACATCTTGAAAGTATCTCCGACATCTTCAAACTATTTTTCAGAACCTTCGATATCTTCAAAGTCCCAAGAGACTGAAGCAGAGCTTCAGATTCCCCCGGAGAAAGAGATAAAGATCGAGGCCGAAGACAATGTCGAGGATAATTCGGAAAATCAGGCATTAGACTTGCATAATTCTGGCCTCGAAGAACTTAATATTGACACTCAACGTATTTCAGCGATCGTAAAGCAAATTCTCTTGGAGCAGGAAAAGACACGTACAAAAGCACTCGTGGAGCAATTGCAACCGTTGACCGTGGAAATTTCAAGTCTTCGAGAAGCTATGATTAAATTGAAGTTTGAGGCAAAAATATCCAATGTGAGGGAGAAATCGGATGTTGCAGAGAGAGTTGAAGAGCAGTCGCTGCATTGTGGATCGAGAGAGAGTGAAAGGTCAGCAGCTTCGAATCGTGCAACCTCGCAGCTTCAACAGCCAGAAGACATTTTGATGGAGGAAGGAAGAGACCAAAAAGCACAAGTCGATGATGTACAGAACATAAATGAAACAACTCAACGAACTTTCGAAGAATCAGAGCAAATGGAGGAGGATTCGACAGCTCGAAATACAGAAGAATGTGATTCAGAGGTGATTGAGGTTGATGTCCCCTCAGATCTAGTTGATAACAACGATTCATCATGGGAACCATCGGATGAAGATGAATCTCCTCCTTCTACTCAGCAATCTGAGAGCGACTATGAGGAGGCATCTGGGGGAGAAGAATTACGACCTGTCCGCAAGCTCATCGTGGGAAATTATTACGTTATACCTTCAAATCCACAATTTTTTGAGATTAATTGGAAGGACCATTACACATTTAAGCGCCCCCGTTCGTACACCTGTATTTATTGTTCACAAACGATAGCCAACAGATTAGCCATGCAGGATCATATATGGGTTCAACACCATGGGGAATACTTCAAATGTCCCCTTTGTCCTTCTTCATACTCCATATCAAGAAGAACCAGTATAAGGAAACACATGTGGGGAACACACTTGTCTTGAGCATTTCAGTCATGAAAATGAACAACATCAAAAAATGTATTTATTTGGTAGTATATGAATGAGTAAATACAGAGAGTTGATTTCTATTAATTTTAAATTTTTGCTCTTAACGAAAAAACAGACGATTATTCCTTCCATTTCACAGGTAATAGTGTTTTTGTTTTGTGTACCGTTTGATGATCGATGGTGAAACAAGCAGGAGTTGCCGCCTATCCGGCAAAAAGCATATGACCATTGTTACGTTATTAAGCTTTTTCTTTTCTGCTTCCGAATGTGAACTTTCCAACCGTGTTTTTTTTAATCTATCAATTTTGGGTGGAAATGCCTAGAAACGTCATGAAACGTGGAGAAATGATGTTTTTAATAAATGTCTGCATGTGTGTGCACATATGTGTTCGTATGTCCAGAATTTTCCTTATAACTCGAGAATTATTGAGGCAAACATGCCTCATTTTGGCTGCTAATTGGTACTACTGAGACTCAAATTTGTGCTAAATTGCAGCTCGATTGGTTGAGCGGTTCCTGAGATATAGCGATTCTTCGAAAATCGTTTTGTTGGCGATATCCTTTGAACCATCCAACCAATTCGATTTTTTTTCTCAAAATACTCGTCATGATGATACCTCTTTAATTGGATTGAAAAAAGACCACTACACCCTGAGCAATGTAGTTTTATTCTCGTTTTTTCATTTTTTGGATGAAATTCCTTCTTCGCACGATAACTTAAAAAATAATTGACGTAGAAACTTGAAACTTGGTATGATTTTAGGTCTTATAGTACCCGGCCTTCGGCCCGGGCTGCAAACTCATATTCGCTGGAAAAGTTTCTTATGGCCCAGTGTCGAAATATATTGCATCTTCGGGAATTTCAGGTTTCAGAGGTGACCAGCGTATTGAAACGCAGCATCGTAAATACCTTCAGTACCTCTAATAAATGAAAATATGTACAAAAGTAATTTAAAATTGAAATGATAAAAATGGAAAATAAATAATTTTATTTTACGGATTATCAGCTATAACACCCCAGACCTTTAAAATTATCGGATATTTCCCGAATGTTTTGTTGCATAGCAACGAGAGGGATCAGTTTTGCAGTAAAATCGCGAGCGCACAGCGCGATCGTTGATATGCAGGAAAAATTGAGGGAAATATCCGATGAATTTTGAAGGTCAAGAGGTATTCGGAGGACAATTTCTTCAATTCTGATTTTGGCCGATCAGGGTGCAGTGTTCGGGGTTACGGGACACATTTCACCAAAATGTGAGGAATATCTGTCGAATTCGTAGAAAACAATTGACAGGCTACAGGGAAATTATCAGTCTGATAATTTCCCTGCAGCCGGGAAAATTATCAGTGTGAAACGCGTCACGTGACCCCGAATACTGAACTCTGATTGGTCAAAATAAAAATTGAGGAAATTGCCTTGGCGGACCCAGTGGAGAGTCTAACTCTCTATTTGTTCCACGATTAGAGAGTAAGTAGAGAATGGGTAGAGAGTTGGGGTGACAGGGCAGATTGTCTACTCTCCAATGCTTTGAGAGAGTAGATATAGCTCAGGCGAGGGACATGGTGACCCTTATTAACTATGGCCCTTGAGATATTTGACCCTCTAACCGACTGACCCTTGTACTTGGGACCTGTTTGAACTCCCGGAGCTCAAACTTTTGGACCATGGAATGTTTTCAACTGAAAATACTCTGATTTCATTTGAAATTATTTAATTGGATCTTTGTGACCCTTATAATTTCAGACCCTTAATATTCCAGATCCTTCAATAAGGACTCCCAATAATTCTGGCCCTGGAAAATATTGAAAAGTGCAACTTTTGACCCTTAAACCTTCAGAACCTTAGACTAGTACTATCTACTCTCTACAAGAGTAGAGAGTAGATAGTTGGGAGCGGATGCGTGGTGGGAGCTACTCTCTACTCTCTACGCGTCTAGAGAGTAGATAGTTGGCGGTAGGTGCGAGGTGGGGGCATTCAGACCCTTATTTTCTTTAGACCCTCATCATTCCTCATGACCCTAAAAGTTTGACCCTAACTGGTGCTGACCCTTGAACATGTATACAGTGAAATTTTAGACTCTTAAAATTTCTGACCCTTAGACTAGTCGTACTATCTACTCTCTACTGTTGTGGAGAGTTGGGATCGGATGCGTGGTGGGGGTTACTCTCTACTCTCTACTCGTCTAGAGAGTAGATACCCGTAGAAACCAGTGAAACTTGACCCTCAATAGTGCTGACCCTTGAAAATGATAACGGTTAAATTTTTGGACCCTTAATATTTCTGACCCTTAGACTAGCCGTACAATCTACTATCTACTGTTGTAGAGAGTAGATAGTTGGGAGCGGCTGCGTGGTGCGGGCTACACTCTACTCTCTACTCGTCTAGAGAGTAGATAGTTGGCGCCGGGTGCTTGGTNTCGTTTCTTTCGTCAGCCTCGTGGCCCTCGTTTTGTTCGGGAGCCTCGTGGCCCTCGTTTCTTTCGTGAGCCTTATGGCCCTGGTTTTTTTGGTGAACCTCGTGGCCCTCACGACAATTTTTTTCTGGCAGCCCTTATGAGCCTCTCGACGTTTGACCCTCGTGAAATTTAATTTTCCCCTCGTGAACCTCGTTCCTTTCGGTGTCTTCGTTTCTTTGGTGAACCTCGTGGCCCTCGTGAGACCTCGCAGGGTATGCCTCTTGTGAAAGGNATGCTGACCCTAGAACATGTATGAAGCGAAATTTTAGACTTAAAATTTCTGACCCTTAGTCTAGTCGTACTATCTACTCTCTACTGTTGTAGAGAGTAGATAGTTGGGATCGGATGCGTGGTGGGGGCTACTCTCTACTCGTCTAGAGAGTAGATAGTTGGCGNCTCTTGTGAAAGGCCTTTGCTTCTTTAATCAATTATGTCAATCGAATTGTTTTTCAATCAATCATGGCAAATCAATTATTAAAAGAATTATTATAGATTGGGTAATTAATAAGTAGAATGGTGCACTAATATAATCAATACTGCACTCGTGTAATAAATATAGCATTAGTTCATCACTATTCTTCATTTATNTAGTATAGCCCGGTGGCCCGGCGTAGTGGTTAAGGCCGTTGCCTCACAACGGATAGGTTCCAGGTTCGATTCCTGGCCGGGTAGAATGGTGAGATCTAACCATTTTTAAAGTCTTGATCAATCGCCATATAGTCTCATCAGACTCGAAGCGATATAAAATAAGCATAAAAAAAAAAAAGTATAGTATAGTACTCTCTACAACAGNTTAAAGTCTTGATCAATCGCCATATAGTCTCATCAGACTCGAAGCGATATAAAATAAGCAAAAAAAAAAAAGAGTATAGTATAGTACTCTCTACAACAGTAGAGAGTATATCGTACGGCTAGTCTAAGGGTCAGAAATATTAAGGGTCAACAATTTAACTGTTATCATTTTCAAGGGTCAGCACTGTTGAGGTTCACGTTTCACGGGTCATGAGGAACGATAATGGTCTCAAAAATAAGGGTCTGAATGCCCCCACCAAGCACCTACCGCCAACTATCTACTCTCTAGACGAGTAGAGAGTAGCCCCCACCACGCATCCGATCCCAACTATCTACTCTCTACA